GCTCTCCTGGCGAAATAAAACTTTCCCCACATTTAGAGGATAGCTCTCTTTTGTGCCATTTCTGGTGTCTCTGAAGTTCATAAGAAAACATAAATCGTTTCTCACATGCCAGACATTCATAGGGTCTCTCTCCGGTGTGAAGTCTCTGATGTTGCACCAGGCTTGATTTCCAGGTAAAACACTTCCCACATTCAAGGCACTTTTCATTTTTCTCTCCTCTGTGTGTTTTCTCATGACTCCGAAGAGATGAACTCAGGGTGAAAGATTTTCCACACTCAAAGCATTTGTAAGATTTTATTCCTGCATGAACCTTCTCATGGACCCAAAGACTGGCGTTCTGAGAAAAGCTCTTCCCACATTCCCAACACTTGTAAGGTTTCTCCCCTGTGTGAAGCCTCTCGTGGTTTCTGAGATGGGTTTTTTGACGGAAAATTTTCCCACATTCCAGACACTGATAAGGTTTCTCTCCAGTGTGGATTTTCTGATGTGTAAGAAGACTTGACTTTTGACCAAAGCATAAGTCACATTCCTCACATTTATAGGGTTTTAATTTGGGGGGGCTTCTGAGATCTTTGGCGTCTTTTCCAGAGAAGAATTTCTCACCCTCCAATCCTTCACTGGATCCGCTTCCCATGTGGACCTTCCTGTGGTTCAGAAGGAGGGACCGGCGAGCAAAGGATTTCCCACACTCTGAGCATTCATGGGTTCTTTCATGGTTTTTCAGAGTGCTGCTTGTGTCTGACGGGGGATCCAAGAGTTTCCCGCCTTCCATGAGTTCTGGCGGCTGCTGCCTTGTGCTGATTTTCTACTATCTCTTGAAAGGTGACTTGCAGGTGAATCTTTGCTCAGAGTTGTTTCCCTGCTGGTGGAAAAAAAAAAGAAAATGAGAATAGCATTTCCTTTTGAGGAAGACTGAGAATCACAAAAACATAGCTTTAGAAGTGCCACCTGGGGAAGAAAGGCATTTGGAAAAACATTTCGAATTATGTAAGTCAGACTTCTGGCCATCAGCTTGTCGTGATACCTGATAACAAGACCAGCCTCAAAACTTCCATAAAACCTGTCCTTTGTAAAACATCCCATCAACAATGGGCTGCCACAACACAGCCCCTTCAAGGAAAAGCAAGGAAAATTTTGGTTTTTAGAGCTTCTTCTACCCAGCTTTGTCAAGGAACAGCAAACTAAACATGAGCATAAAAACAAAGACTACTCATCCCTATTCTTTTACATTAAGTCAGTGGTTCTCAACCTGTGGGTCGGGACCCCATTTGGGGTCGATCGACCATTTCACAGGGGTCGCCAAGCAAGGCTGTCCGCCATTTTGTTTGTCCGCCATTTTTTTCCCCATTTTCCGGCGGATGCCTTACCTCCCTTGGGCTGGGCCAGCTGGTGGTTAGCCTGCTCCGTCTCTGCCGCTTGCCAGCTACGCCTCGGCCAGTGCAGGGGGCGGAACCACGCATGCGCGGCGCTTCCGGGCAGGGAAAGTCCTCGACTTACGACCGGTTGGGGTCACGACATTAAAAAGATTGAGAACCACTGCATTAAGTAGAAAGAAAAAATATCTGAGATGATAGCACTGTTCCAATATTGGAGGGGCTACCACAAGGAGGAGGTGTGTGTGTCAACCTATTCTACAAAGCATCGGAAGGCAGGACAAGAAACGATGGATGGAAGCTAATCAAGGAGAAAACCAGCCTAGAGATAAGGAGAAATTTCCTGACCGTCAGAATAACATTTTGGAGAAGTGGCAGGGTTGACGATAAACAGAGAAAAGACCAAAGTGCTAACAAAGAATTTAACAAAAAAACAAAAAAAATCAACTAACAAAAAAAAAACAAATCTTCAAATAATTAAAAAAATCAAGTACTTGGGAATTTATTTAACAGCAAGATGTGTAACAGTAAAAGAAGATAATTATGTAAGACTGCTAAAACAAATAAAATTGGATTTGGAAAAGTGAAAGAACCTCCAACTTTCAATGTTGGGGAGAATAGCAACAGTGAAAATGAATATCTTACCAAAAATACTCTTTTTATTTCAAACGATCCCTGTAAGGCTGGGAAAAGCCTTTTTTGATGAACTGAATACAATAATATTGAAATTTATCTGGTAAGGAAAAAAAGCTAGAATCAAAAGTGAAAATGCTACAAGAAGTAAAAGACAGTGGAGGACTTGGACTGCCGAACTGGAGGCTATATTACCAAGCAACCATTTTAACATGGCTTAAAGAATGGATAATATTTAAAGATAAAAGACTATTGTACCTAGAGGGGCATGACCTGCAAATCAATTGGCATGCCTTTCTGTGGTATGGAAAGAATAAAATACATAGATACTTTCAAAACCATTTTATAAGGAATGCACTTCTTTCAGAATGGGAAAAAATAAAAGAAAAAAATTACATTAAGATACCCGAATGGCTTTCAACAATGGAAGTTTTTGCTTACCCAAATTTAATTAACTAAGATAAAGTTGTGAGTTAGAAAGATATTTTGGACAATGAAGGAAAACTGAAAAACAGACAAGAGTTACAAGAACAAGGTATTGATTTAGCATGGTGGCCATATCTGCAAATTCAAACAAGATATGAAAAAGATGTTAAACAACGGAATTTTATAAAGAACAGACAGACTTTGATCATATGCTGTTAAAAACAGATGAAAAGTTGATTAAGAAACTCTAATAGATTTCTGTTAAACTTAAGATGGAGGAAGAACAAGTAAAAGAAACAATGATAAAATGGGCAAAGAATTTTGAATATAATATAGAATTAGAAGATTGACAAAAGTTATGGGAAAGAAATATTAAATTAACTAAAGCAGGGCCATATAAACAAAATGTATATAAAATGTTTTACAGATGGCATATGACACCAGTGAGATTAGCAAAAATGTTTAAAAATACATCGAACAACTGTTGGAAATGTAAATAGAGACCAGGTACTTATTATCATATCTGGTGGACATGCCCCAAAGCAAAAAGATTTTGGGTTAAAATACATTTATGGTTGGAGAAAATAACCCAAAAACAAATAGACTTCAAAATAGAATTATTTTTGTTAGGAATAATAGGAGCTAATTATGAGAAAGATTGTATATATCTAATACTGCACATATTAACGGCAGCAAGAATGGTATTTGCCCAACATTGAAAAAATGAAAACTTATCAACTGAAGTACTAATTAAGAAAATTCTAGAGCAGACATGTCAAACACAAGGCTCGGGGGCCGGATGTGGCCCACAAAGTGGTTTATTGTGGCCCACGAAGCCATCCTGGAAACAGTGAGGGAACGGCCCCCTCTGCCTTGGCCCTGGCCCAGGCCAGCCGGGAGCCAATGTACAATTTTGTGGTGGCCATCTATGCTGAAACGCATTCAGTCTTAGCTCCACAAGGCTGTCTATAAACAGCGAGGAACCAGCCCCTTCTGCGTCGGCCCCATACCCTGGGTGCATGCTGGGGAGGTGTCACCCTTTGTGAGGAATGAAGAAATGGACCATGCCTTGGCGCTTGCCCCGGTCCCACCCCCTTCTGCCGGAGACCCTCAGATCTGTCCCACTCCTGCCCAGGCCCCCACGAACGATGTAGAGCTGGCCATGCCCACCCAGTAGGCCACCCCCACTCCATCCATGCCC